AACAGATCTACCGTTGGGCAACTTGTGAATCAATACCTTTCTATCCCAGTCCAACTGTGGTTTCGCGGCCTCGAGGTAGTACATACCTAGGAGCATATCAAAAGGAAGTTCGTCGCTAACCAGAAAGGAGATCTTGTGGATCACTTCCCCTCCTCCATAGGAGAAGGAACAGGCTACGTCCTTGACATAGTCTTTTACTACCATCTTGTGCTTGTTGGCTAGCGTAGAGGCTACAGTTCTGCTAAGCCGCTGCACTTGGTCCCCTAAGCGCAGTCTATCCACACAAGCACGACTGATGAAATTTCGTGTAGAGCCTGTCTGCGAAGGCGCCAATCTTGCGGCCACCTACATCTACTTACGAAATGTTTGCCCTTTGGACCTCCACTCATCATCGCCCAAGAGTCCCTGGGGTCCTTCCCTGACCACTCAGTCTCTAACTCTTCTAGGGCCTCAGACACATCTTTCGAACAGAGCGTCAGTGGGTCTGTATGTGTCTGYGGGGCGATACGTGGGTCACTAGCCTTGGCCAACGCCTGAAGTGGGGAAGGCAACGTTACCACTTCAGCGCGAGTAAGAGCGGCTAACACTCCTACTGGCCCGAGGTGTTTCCCTGTGAGCTGCTCGCAGAAGCACTCCCAGGGTTCGAAGGTAAGCCCACCACCGTTGGTGAGGCTACCTTCGTTGTGACTTTCTTGCCGCGGCAAGTCCTGGACGTGCGGCCAAAGTTGCCACAATTCATGCGTGTACCCCTAGCAACGCGGTCACGCCACACCTCGTATTCTAAACCAATCTTCACCCATGCGGGTGTTCCTTGGTCGCCCTGACCCGTGGATGGTACTACCTTCTTCTTCTCGGTCCCCCTAGCCTTTTCTTTGATGGGTGCCACGACTCCACCATCTGAAGTCTCACCACCCCCATCGTGCTCTGTGAACTCCCCAAGATCTGAGTAGTCGTCAATCTCCGTCGTTTGACCATCGTGGTCAACGAACATTAACTGACCCTTTTTCTTCCAATCTTGGGGCAGTCTCATTGGATGCCTTATGCGCAGATCCTAGCTTTGCCTCTATGTCCAGTGCTTTCTTACTAAGAGAAGCAAAAGTGTGCTGGTCGATATAGGCCTCATCAACCAGCTTGGTCCTTACCTCTGGAGGTAGGCACCTTAGGTAATCCGTTAGGAGAACCTGCGGGTCAAAACGCACACCAGGTACCACGAGAAGGCGTTCTACGGTGTCTGTAAGCTCTCTAACATCCTTGAACCTACGGGAACAAAGGTTGTTGATAGCATCGATGGCCTTTTGAGCCCCTTGCGGGTCATTCCACCTGTTGTAGACGGACCGTACAAACTGTTCCAATGTYTGAGACTGAGCCCAGGCATCGAAATCCTRACCGTAGCCCTGTTGYTGCACCAAGCCATTCAACCAGCGGGCTGCTGATCCTTCTAAAAAGGAGGCAGCCACTACCACTTCATGTTCTGGCATGGTGAGTTTGTGCCTCACATAAGTAGGCACAGTCCTCACCCAGGTGTCCAAGTCTTCCTCCCTCTTCTTGTCTCCAGAGAAAGGCTTGGGACTCATTAGAGGTATCTTGGGCATCCACTGCATCGGCTGCATGGGCCCAGGTGCTTGATGCAGCGGCTGCATAGCCACTGAAACAGGCTGTTGCAAACTAACCTGGGCATGGCTGGACAGTGGGACTGTAGTGACCACTGTTGTAGACGGTACGGCTGAGACTGAATGAACCGGACCACTAGTTGCACCTAAACCACCCGGGGAGGGCATGCCAAACATGGGAGAGAAAGTTTGCCCTGTGCGTTGCGGCATCGATGATGGACCCGCACCTACATGGGGAACTACAGCAAATTGTGGCGGCCTCGCCGTTGGGCGAATGCCCCTAAGTTCAGCCAGAATTTGTTTCTGGCCTGCTACCATATCAGCCAACAATTCCTGTTGAACGCTTTGCGCTTCCGCCACTGAAAGTAAGGCGCCTCGCAGCACACGAACAGCAGGGTCTAATGTTGCCTCATCTAGTCTTTCCAGTCTGCCTAACTCCTGCAATCTACTCTCTAGTCTAGCTTTTCTTCTCCTTTCTACTACTTCGTCCATCTGCCGCTGTAGCTCATCCTGAAGTTCTTCTGCTTGCCGGATTTCCAAGTCCTCCGGCGTGATAGGAGACTGGTTGACTCGCAGATGACCAATCTGACTAGTGACCGCCTGAGCACCACTCTGACTGACTCCTGACGAAGTGGGCTGTGTAGAGGGTTGCGTCATAGATGAGGTAGGTATGGCTGTACTAATGCTAGCTGTAATTCTAGCTCTAGCACTCTCCTCAGCTGCCCTCGCTCTCCTTGCCGCTGCCCTTTCTCTAGCCTCTCTCCTCAATCTTCTCTCGTCTCCTGGACCTAACTCCAAGAATGTCAAGGGTCGACTACGAGCAGTCCCGCGAGTAGTCCTACGGTCGTCCACTAGTGACTCCTCTTCACTTGTGCTTGCATCACTCATGAGCTACAATGTGTGTGATCTAAACTAGAATCCACACTGAATCCTACCTTAGCTTGACACACAAACGATTATGAAACACAATTACTTTCGGTCGGATGGGACAAAACAGTTAGGTGATATAATTACAACTAATGTCAGGTCCTACAGGATATATTACATCTATTTTTAGATTACCCTGGAACAGATTGCAATACAGCAAAGGTCTAGTCTATCTGTAGCTGTCTGTCAGTTGTCAGGAAGTCCGTAACAACTAGATAATCAAAACAGAAAATAACATTTCCTGTTGGAGATGTATGCTTGATGGCAGATTGTCTGTTGATTGCCACTGCGAACAGTTACCGGAATCCCCCCTCCCCCTGTATCCTTCTTGATTAGTCACTTTGTGTCAACGTCCCTGAGCATCTGGTTGAGCAGCGTGTCTAAAGGTGTGCAATCCGGTCCCACCCCTGTGCCTCAAGTCATCGTCGAGCAAGGCAGCCACAACACTCTTATTTACCCTC